TAATCAGCGAGAAATATGCAAATTATATAAAACTTACGCTCTAATCATTTCTTAAGATAAGTAAATAAGCTAAATGATAAAATCATACAAATGATATGTAAATAAATAAATTATCCGCCACTGAGAAAAAATATAAAATATTCATAATTCTCTTTGTCAAGAGAAAAAAACAAATAGAGAAGAATACTACACAGCTGTCAAAAGAAGTGTGATGACGTGGCAAAGAACAATCAAGTAGCAAATGATTGGCCACTGATTCTCTTCTTCCAGATACGTTATTATAAGAAACGAATTAACTTAATTTTGATACTCTGTAAGCTAATCAACAATAATATAATTAATTTAAATTAATATTTCAAAGAGGTTCATGACTCAGCTACTGAATGTCTCTAAAATTTTAACCTCAATTTTTTTTCTCTGATAAACGATAAACATTTGAGAAAGTTTCGATAAAATTATTAGTTTAAGACATTAATTAATTGATGAACCGCGTAAGATGCCGAAAATGTAAGGTCATTACACCGTATGATATTATGATCAATAAGACAATAAGAATAAGCAAGTGCTCTTGTCGGGTGCGCTTAAAACTACCTGAGACGCGTTTTGTTTCGTTGGTTTATTATTGAAACTGAAAAATATTAACAGTCAATTAATAATTAAAAAAACAACAACAATGGTCTGTTTTTTTTCATTACATGATCACCATTATAGGTCACCTTATTTGCATTATAACTGAATTATGTACAATAACCATTTGAACCGTAACACATGATAACATCATTATATAGTAGAAGAGTTAACCTCTTAACATAAGGTACATTAGAATCTTTTATGGTATAAACAGAAAGATAATGATTCCACTATAAAACGATTTAAGTAACAATGATATATAGCGTAATGTGAAATAATTAAATCGCGTAAGTACACAAGCAAAAGGAAGTAATGGATTTTTCTTCGAGAATACGTAAATAAAATAAATGAGGTTAATGACGTTTAACGTCATCGCATCATCATTGCTCCACCACTCTTCTATTTATAGTCTTTTCACATTTGGTCCCTTCAATTTTGCTTCTTCCATTTTTTGTTTAATATAAAAAAAAATCTATTATCCAGAGAACACAAAAAAAAAGAAGAGAAAACGTTAAAAGTGTGAAGAAACAGAGTAAAGAGAAGAAGAGGGGGGAGAAATGGGTCAATGTTCATC